GTTTCATCCGAATGGCGGTGCTCACGAATTGCTGTTTCTTTCCTTCCGTTCGTTTTAATTCCTGCCGAACCCTGCTTTGCTGTGACGTTAGAATCCCGTCGCTTGCCACCAATTGTAGTGGAGCAGTAGTATTATCCATGGTATCTCCGCTGGTAGACAGAATCAAACAGGCACAAAGCAGGTAAAATCCAGGTAGCGTAGTTACAATCCCTTCTTCCCAAGAACTAGACGACACATAGCTTGGAGGTCAACTGAGGTTTATTTTCAGGTCACGGTATTTATGGGATTCCCCATGCAAGGGGTTTCCCTACTGACATTTCAGGGGTTGTACAGTAGGGGACTACATGGGGAACTGACCAACCCACACATTTTTCCCATCATGCACTGCTGGACGTGAGGGATACTCCCACTGGAATATACTGTTAATGGGATTATCCCTCTGTGCAGCAGAACTCACATTTTACATTAAAATACATAACTTTAACAATATTCACTAGTTTTACACGAATGGACATTCGGTAGATAGCTGGAGGCTGAGCGCATCGTTCGTGAGAATACCGCACAGCTCCCAGTCTAACTAACAGAACGCCGTACGAAATACATATAATTTCTAACATAGGTTTTAAAATACCGATTATAGTAAGGGGAATAAACTACCGAACGGCCGAGGTTCCCGAACGGCCTGGAAGTCCAGCGGTGTTCGCGCCGTCGAGTAGCCGTTTTTAGTTCCAGGCGCTCGACGACAAAACACCGCTGGGCTAACAAAAGAAACAAGATGGCCGACCGCCGCGTGGTCGGTATTCGAACAATGGCCACCTAGAAACACTCTTAATTACCACATGACCCCCTGTGCCACATGACCCCCTGTGTGTGGTCGTGTGTTCGGTATGTTATTGATTTCACGAACAGTGTTTAACTCACTGTTCGTGAAACTTCATTAGGAATGCTGGGGTTTTCATACCGCCAGCATACGAATGCCCTCATTCGCCTGAAATACAAATAGCATTGATTTTTATGGCTTAGCAACAATACACACATCCTTATACATTGATAGTCTCTGGTGGCTAGTTTTGCCACACATAATACACAGAGAAATTTCATTAATATGTGTTAAGACACCCCTGGTGTCTTTAAGGGAAACCGCCATTTAGTTCACCTTCCCCTTTCGCAATTCAGTAAACCGTTCGCATCAATTATAATCCACGAACCATAACCAGGGGAAGCGGTAATCTCGTGAAAGGCTCCAAACTCACGAACGGAAATCCACGAACTGCTGCTAGCTGCCGAACAACGATATCCACCAAGCGGCTTTCTGTTCCATCCAGCAGTCTCTAAACGCAAAGAAGAAATACCCCCAATAACGAGACAGAAGCTCCGCACTGAGGGTCAAACAGGATCTGGCTTTACTGTGGGCTACCTGTCCGTATTTATGGAGGTCTCCCACTTGGTGGACACTCCCCTAGGGGACCAAATGGGAGACTGGAATCACAGATGGACATGAAGACATTCCAGACATACAGTCACAGCTTTTACCCACAATGCACTATGGTTTCCTCCCCTCTGCCCTGGAGATAATTGAGAAGTAATTCAATTATCTCCAGGACAAAGACAATCGCCATCTTAAATATAATACTAGAAAATACATAAAAATACATAACTTTAAAATAACTGAACATTTCCCATTCGCATCACATATCCCCAGATAGCCTGGATCTGAGTGCATATTATTAGCGAATAGCGCTCAGATCCCACACACACAGTTCAATCGCCATGGAGTCAAAGTTCTTACAGTCTTTCGGTATGCGATTGACTCTATGGGAAGGCTATCTGGGTTAAGTCCTTTCGTGTGTTTCAAAACTCCTGAACGGCCGGTGTTCGTACGCTTTCGTGGAGGCAGCCAGGCGTTCCGTTGTTTCAGCAGTGTTCGGCAGCAAAAGTGTCAGTTTTTAGTTCCATGAAAATAGAGCCGAACACCGCTGGGCTTTCGCGTGTTTTAAAATGGCCGCTGCCTCGTGGTCGACATACGAACGACGACCACCCTGAATTCGGTTTAATTGAGAAGTGTCTGCAGTTAACCACAACGTTCTAATTGGGATCAATAGGTTAACCAGCAGCACACTTCTCTCCTGGGTGGCCATCCGTTCGGTAGTTTTGTTCGGGAAAAACAGTCATTCGTATGGCTGGGCTATAGGAAACAGCCATTTACACGAAAATGCAGGAAACAGACGAATCCACCACAATAGTCAGACGAATGGTTCTGTCACAACATCTATATAGTAACAGAGGAACACTCTCTGTCTTGGCTCTTGGCTCTCTCTCTCTTGGCTTGCTCTCTCACTATGTAAAGATGTAAGGATCTCCCGTCAGAAGTCCAGCAATTACCACCTGCTGTTGAATGTCCAGTATCCTGTAACATCATTTGTTGTTTTATTATGTATCCGTAACTAAGAATAAACCTGAAGTCAGATTGCGT